GATTCTCTGAATTGCTCTAGTCTGTTTTATTTCCTCTCTGCTCTTGGAGCTAATTTCTATTTCTTTGTCTCACAAACTGATTGTATTTGTATCATCTCCAGACAGGTCACAGGAGGTACATTGAGTGCACACTGGATACTTTGCACATCTGGTTTATATCCTCCTCCACTGAGCCACTTCCCACCCCACAATGCAATATTTCTGTATCGTTGCCATATATCAAAGCAAAAGAAGGATGCACAGACAGTGGAGCTAAGTGGACACAGTACATGAGACACAGCTAAAAATTCAATTAGTTTAAAGTAGCCACTTTTCTTTTAAGCACAGTTCCCAGTTCCTGCAGTAGAATCATACTGAAGAACACAACATACACTTCTCCACTAGGCAAAAAAGGCCAACAGACTCAGTGTTCTGGGTTTTCTTTGCAGCAGCCTTCTGGCATTTGTGTATAATCCTGAGAGACTCAATTTAGGGACAGGAAAAAGCAATTTCTATTTAGACAGAATCTGTGTTGGGGTCTCATTTTTCATGATGTGGACTAAAGCAGTGATTGCCATACTATCCATTTTTGTAGGTCTTTTCTTGGGGACTCTTGGACCACAGTTCAGGGGCTTCAGCAGAGGGGTAACGTCCTGTTGGTGACCAAAGGCAGTGGGAAGGCACACCCTTGGTGTCTTCAGTCTCCCTCTTGGGAGATGGGAAGAATCCTTCTCAGCCAGCACAGGACAATAGCTCCAGATCAGTGTGAGAGGACTGAGCCAACTGTAATCCCTCAGACACCACCACTGCGGGCCAGGGGATCCTCAGAGCACGGCAGAAAGAAGCACTTTGTGCTGCCCTGGGCTGCTCTGGGTCTGGCACAGTCTTGCTGTGGAAGTGTTTGTCCCATGGGCAGGTTTGGGTTGGCTTGTTATCAGCAGCAGAAACTTGCCTTGGGTTCATCTGTAGGTTTGAGCAGATCTTTGCTCAGACCTGCTCAGTGTTTCAGCTCCTGCAGTGACACGAGCCAGGCAGGGCTGCAGCCATCCCGTGATGTGATGGCTTCACACTGTTCTGAGGTGAGCAGGCAATGCTGCTGGACTGACAGACTGACTGACAGCCCGACTGACAGCCTGGGGGATGTGCTGCCTGACTGCCAGTGCTGGGCAGCCCCAGAGCAAGCAGGTCCATGGGTGACTGCAGCGTGCAGCCCCTGGTAACCAGCTCGTGAGTCTGCAACATCACAGGGGAATCAGGCATCCCAAAGAGCAGTTCTTGTAACTGAAACCTCTGCTTCCATAAGCACTTGGGTTTGATAAAAAAGTCCCTCTGATTGTCAGACCTGGGCCCTGGGAAGGTGTGCCAGGAGTGGGAGCTGGCTCGGGGATGTTACGTGCTGGGAAGAGGGACAGCACCAATTGCCCATTGTCTCCTTCCCTCCATCCCCCCAATATACGTGCACACCTGCACCTCCACACACCCAGTTTCACTCTGATTTGCCCCTGGATTGAATTAAGCTGAAGGATCAAAGAGCAAAGCTGGGACAGTTTCCACACAGAGCATAGATGGGGCTCTCTGCTCTCAGAAACCAGCCCAGTGTTTGTCCCTGCTGGCCTCACCTGATTCAATCAAAACACAGCCCAAGGTCTGCTGTTCCAGCCCCAGCTCCCTCCCATCACACCCCCCTCAGCTTTCTTCCCACTTGGACTCCTTCCAGCTTTGCCCCATGTGCTAAAAAATGCCAGAAAGTGCAATTCCTTTTTTTAATTTTCCCTGGAGTTGGCATTAGAGCTGGAAGCAAAGACATTTCTGTCTGGTCAGAGAGGGAATATCTGTTCCAAATGCTTTTGAAATAGGCACATCAAACTTTATGATACTCCTTTTAGAATAGTGGATTCTATTTTCCTCATATAAAATTTGGAGACATTTTCCATGCCCACATCCATGCAGACTGCCTTATTCCTGGGTTTGAGGAGGCTGAGCAGTGCACAGTTTCTTAAGGTGAGCTTGCATTTCTGGAAACATTAAATCTTCAATTTTAGCGTGAGCTTCTATTGAAAGTGTGGCTCTTAATAAAGAATAATATATAGTTATACAGCTTTTTAGCTAAATGCAAGCTCTAGAAAGAATTAAGCTACTTTATTTACTGGTTTCCTCAGGGAGTGCAGCTCATTATTCCACCTTAATAATTTTAGGACAGTCAAGGTGATGTATTTACAGTTCCTAAGTACCCCAGCCTAATACCAATCAGTGTGGGCAGTGGCATGCATTGTCTGTGTGATAGCAGCTGAGACCAGGAGGGGAGCTTTGGAGGTAGTAAACTCTGCTCAGGAGGCAAATGAAGTGAACAATGTCTGAATGATAATGTTATGGTAAATGCTGATCTCCCTGATTTTCAGTAACCACTACAACTGCTTGCAACATCTCATCAACTCTGTCCCCAGCAGCCTTTGCAGCCCAGAGTTAGTGAGTTTGGCTACATAAAACACAGCAGCATTAGGTGGGGAGATGTTTGCACACTGTGTGCTGTAACAGGAGTTGAGTTTTAACAGGGGACATTAGGCACTTTTGTAACTGAATTCCAAAAATACAAGGAAGCTACCAAAAAGTGCAGAAGGTAATAAAAGCCTACCGTCTTTTGTAGTCCTTCTCCACTGATAATGTCCTGTATCCATCCCTTGCAGGATAGAGGTAGCAGAAGAGCATGGTTGAAAATAAATGAGGCACATGTGTGGGCTTTAACTGGAACTTAAACTGGTCCTTAACTAAGGACCTTGCTGTCATTTCATATATTTTCCTATCTTGTTTAAGGACTCATGTTCTAAAAAAGCACGTTTTGGTATTTCTGATGTCCCTGTACTTCCCTCTCTGTGCTGGTGATTTACTGTGTGTAGCCCAGAGCTGGAATCCATTTCTCCTTCTGCTCAGCTAGGTTGTTCTGGGCACGTGTGTGTCCTGCTGTTCACCTCAGACCTGCTCAGGACAGAATGTGGCTTGTGGCTTCAGCAGCAAAGAGGTCGATGCACATGGAGCAGAATGAAAAGCTTGGGAATAAACTCACTAAGTGGCTTGAACATTTGTCATCCCTGCTAAATAGGAAATAGATGGGCAAGTGAACTGATGGAAGTAGCATCCTTCTACCCCTGGGCAGCCATGAATTTCAGACCAGGTGGGATGACTCCTTTCCAAAGCAGAACTGAAGATGCATCAGCAGTCTGAGGGTGTAAATGATGCTGCAGCCCTTAGCCAAGTCAGTACATGATCCATGCCAGAACCAATCTCCTCAGGATAGATCCCAGCCAAAGTTAAAGCACTGCCCTCTGTTCAGGGCTCTCTTTGAAATCCACCATCAGACTGGTTTGTTTGAGGGAATTCCTTTTTGTTTGCTGGGTGGGATGAAACTCTGTGAGTCCCTTTGGGGTGAGTCAGCTCCAGTGCAGCTGGAATGATGAGGACACGGGCTGGTCCACGGCAGAGCCACATGAGACAACCACAATATACACCCTTGGACACAGTGGTAGTGCTGGGTAAGAAAGCTTGGACCTCCCTGGGCAGTTGAAGCACAGCTCTGGGGGAGGCTGTGCAGCTGCTGGAAGCCCCCTAAACTGCACAGAGCTCCCCTCAGCTCACTGAAGCTGGTGTGGAGGAGACCTGAGACAGTCCAGGTCACACTGAGATTTGGGGTGAGAAAAGGAAGATTTGCCTGGCTCCAGAGGTCATGATCTGTGGCATCCATGAGCAATTCTTTCCTGAGGCTGGACTAGAAATTGCCACAATCACACATAAGGAGTTCTGTAGGCCTGTACCAATAAATAAATAAATTGCCTTTCTATCGGCTGGAGGGATTTTGGTCTTTGACTCTATTTTTGTGATTGTTCACTTGGCTGAAACTCGTTGCATTGAAGTGTCTCTTAAGAAATGCTTTTGGCCCCAAAGCCATATTAATATTTGAACAGTTTTTCTCGAGCAGTGCAACAGCTGTGCAATGTGAAATAAAGGCATTTTTCTCTCTTTCCTTGAGCACCTCTAAAGCATCAATTGGTAAATGGAGAAGAAGGGGAATTTTTTTTCTGCAGACCCTTATGTAAAATACCAAATATTAACAATCCACCACCCAAGCCTCCTCTGGTGCTATAGATTTGATCTTAGCAAAACTTTGTGTATCACTGAAATGCACTCGAATATTGAGTACCTAAATATAAATTACTCTGGGCAATCTCCTGTACTGAAGGTTGGCTCGCTCAGTTCAATAAATGTATGTGCATGATGCTTCTGTTACATAGAGAGATACCCAAGTGGATCCTTAGACCCAAATGCCCACAAACTGGAAAAGAAATACACTTCAGCTGATGATCTCTTAAAAAAAAAAACAGACAGGAAGTACCAAGATCAGCTTGAGATTTGGAATAATCACAGGGCTCCAAACTTTTGGTTTCATGTTGACCTTACACTGGGCTGGCCATGCTGCTTTGATAGAATAAGGATAGTTTTATTAGCTCAGAGTTCATTGAACCTTTTTTACTGTTTTTCATTTTGGTACACAGCTTTGCCCCCAGACCTGAAAAAGGATTAAAATGTCAGATAGGAGACAGATCACTCAGCATTTCTAATCACATACCAGAAATCTCAAGACACACAGTTCTCACAGGGTTTTCTACTCTTTGTAGACCATAAAAGGCTCAGATAACCTTCTAAAGTCCACTCTGATCTCTTTAGTCATTAAAAAATAAGTTTTTACTGAGAAACTAAACTAAGTTCCTGCTGCAGTGATCACATTCAATCCATCCAGTTTCACTCCACTGCTTCAGAAGTTACTTATGCATTCATTCACTGACAATAACAGAAGTCTTCATTCAAAACAACATTCTGACAGTTGAAACAAGGCTGGAACTATTGGGGAAAAAAAAAAAAAAAGCCCTGGAGTACTGCAGGGAAACATTTCCATATATATTATTCCATCATTTCATTTCAGATGGTTATAGGCATTTGCTTTCTAATTATATTTCATGTTCATGTTTCAGAAATGCCCCAGCTGTTGTGGGTGGAAGAATAGGCTCACCTGCTCAGCCTCCCTGAGAAGCAGGCAAACACTGAATCACCTAAACTGCAAACTGGTAAGTTTAGTCTTGCATTTTCCATTACCTTCACCACTACGAAAGTGAATTTCAAATGAACCAAGTGATTGACCTTCTTTCAGTGAGCTTCCTGGAAATTCCAATCTTAGTAAATTAGTACTTCTTGTGCATGTTCTTCTGCAAGGTAAGGCAGTCTGGTAGAAACAGCCAATTATTTGAGCTGCCAAAGTGCTTAGTGGCATCAGTGTAACTACTTTGTGTCCTATTTATCTGTCTGTGATAAAACCTTTCGGTCTTGGCCTTGCTGAAGAAGTTGATGCTTTCAAAAATTCCAGCCTTTGTGTTTTTTCATTGAATTGTTGCGTGTTTAAATTAGAGTTGATATTATTTATTTGCTCTTTATTGAGAGGCACTGCATTTCAGGCTCTGGGCACAGTCTGCTTTTTCAGTACAGGTTTGTGCAACACCTAAATCACAGTCCCTCACGCTGGTAAAGATAATAAATGTAGGAAGATAACGCCATGCCTTGAAGAGTGATGCTTCTCCCCATGTGTTAATCTGCAGCTTACGTTTGGGGTAGCTGAAAATAGATCAGATGGAACCTGCTCTGAGAGGGAAGAGCTTCTGCAAACACACAAAATCCTTTCTTAGGATCTGTATTTGACTGGCAAACAGTAAAAAGTCACAAGCCACTACAGTGTGCTGTGCAGGAGCTCTCTCCATTTCTTTCTATGGCATAATTAAACCCAAGCAGGTAGCCAAGCAGACACCACACTCACACCCACGTTCACGGCAGCCTGTGATCCAAAAGGGGAAAAAATATCAGCCATTTGCTCAGGGTCTTTTTTTTTATGGTTTAGAGGTGACTTTGCATTTCAATCGTCTGAGCTGAACATTTTAAGAAAAGGAGTAAAATAGCGAGGGGGAGAAGGAGGGATGAGGTGTTTTGAGTCACTGGGGGCTGTGATGCCGAATATGTGCAGAAACAGTGGCATCTAGTGGGCAGGTCCTCAGCTGAGGGAAGGCAGCAGGCCCTGGATATGGAGCAAGTCAGCAATTGCAGCTAAGGGTTATCTTTCTCACTTCCGTGGATGAAAGGTTTTCCCAAGCCTTTTGTAATCCTTTCCTTTAAAAGCGTTTGGAAATCAACTATTTTTCCAGCTTTCCCACCTTCAGTATACAACTGTCAGGACACTTCTGTTCCTATTTCATTTATATTAAGCTCTCTCGTGGCTTCCACAGGCAAATTCTAATTATGAATTATTACATCTTAATATGATATAGATTATCATAAATCTTCACCCAATAGGAAAACTAATGGTTTGCATGCATGTATAAAAGTTATCCCCCAAGATTTTAGGCATGGACAAAAATAAACCTCCAACTAATCCTTGAACACACTCAATCTAGTTCAACTTCAGATGATTTCCAGCACAGCCTTGAAGGAAAGATCTGAGAGAATAAAATCACACTGAAGGACTCTGAAACAAAGCTTCATTACACCATTTCTGTAGCTATAACTAAGTATAATATTTATGCAGTGTTTACTTTTTATGCTAATCATGTATAAGTTTCTTCACTGCTGAGTCATAATAAATGAGCTAATTTATTTATACCTGATCCTATGATCCTGTTCTCTTATTAGTCCACTGAATTATGTGTAAAACACTCTGTGTGTGTTATGGACATGCAGAAGTGTATAATAAGCAGGATGAGGGGTTGCCACATCCATGGCAACAGCCTAAAGCAGACACACTCACACCTTCACTCTCTCTTTAGCCTTCAGAGTTTGCCAGTGCTGAGCAAACTTAGGAAAGTCTTCTGGGCTGGGCTGGGCTGGGCTGGGCTGGCCTCCTCCTCTTCTTTGGCTGCCTCTCAGGGAGGCTGAAGGGTGTTTCTGTGTTTACTTGCAAGGCCCAAATTAATTTGTATGAATGGAAGACTTGGCTTCTTAAATCTGTCAGAAAAGCTGGATGTCTTAAAAAGCAATATCTTGGCTATGTTCTTAGTGATCACAGGATTCCAGAGAATCCAGTCTAGGGATTTTTTATTTTTAATTTCAAAATTTTCTGTTCTCTCTCTTTTTCTTTACACTTTTTTTTTTCCCCCTGTGTTTCAGACTTTCCTATATGGTGTCTGCTGATTTTCTTGCCTTGATGGACCAGGAGGTTCTTCAATGGTCAGTTCTAAAGTAGAAGGGAAGTGTAGATACATTCAAGAGAGACTCTGCTTTTGTAAAGAAGCTTAAATTCTGGAATTCTAGAAACACTGGTAATGGTTTTGATTTGAACCTGAATGCAAATATGAGTTGCCTCTTTTGCCCATTGACTAGATGAGTGGGCTAAAGACTATTAACACTATACCATAATATCGTCCCTTATGAAGTGGGAGAGAACATGGATCATTGACCTGGAAGTGCTTCACCTTTCTATGTTTTTAGTTTTCTCCTTGTTCATTAGATTTAATAATACTTAACTTTTCTTTTGAGCTGCCTATATGAGATCTTTCAGCCCTAGTGTGAAAAAGCAAATTTTAAAACAATAAACAGTCTCCATTCCACATGTTTGTTTTAGGATTAGCTCAGTGTTACTTGAGGTTGGCCTAGAAGCTCCTATTTAACCTTACCAGTTATCTAACAAATGATTGAATATATAACTAGATGGGAGTTCTTTTATTTCAAAGAAGTAATTGAAAATCGACTTTCACAGGGTGAAAGTTGGCATAATTGGCATCAGCATGAATTTTTCATTGTGCAAGTAAAAACAGAGCCAGGATTTTACCTAATGACTTTAACTCAAAGAGATATGCAAATTTAGATCTGTGTATTGTGAGTAGTATGAATGAAACCCACAATAGCAGCCTGATTATGCTTTTTTACACTCCCAGATTTAATCTAAGATTTATCTTGGCAGTAGGGGAAAGCAAGTCTTTGATGCTTTGAGATTTAAATTATTTCCTTGGAGTCATCTAAGGGAGTTCTCTTACTGGAAGAAAGTATAGTGGAAGGACTGTTGATCCATTCCAGCCTATCAAAAGCTCTGTAGCAGTAATTACCTTATATATCTTCATAAAAATGTGTTTTATTTTGCTACCAGTCCTCAGGCTCTTTGAGTGACTGCAATGAGGAGCTCTGAAAGTTACTTTGGTCCATTCATAACTAATTCTCTTGCCTTTACAGATCATAAGAGTCATGTAAGAGCCATCAAGAAACTTTTCATGTTGTTTTGCAGATATCATATGTTTGCCATCTGACTGTACAAGACATTCTGTTCCAGGGCACAGGTTATAGAGGCACACAGGCAGGAAAGGGTTGGCTGGATACATGTAACCCCTCCTGGCAGAATTCTAGAGGAAAGGGATAGTTATGCAGAGAAATACAAAATTGTTAGACTGCACTGTAGTGCTTCCCAGCTGCTGATCCTAAAAAGTCCTCTGATGTTTCCTTAGTACCTCACAATACTGAGCCTCACTTCCAGTGATTTTTGTCAGCAAATAGTATGGAAGACTAAGGTAACAAAATCATTTGAATATGGAATTGAGCCAAGCTTTTATTATGAAACAATACATGAAATACTCATCAGGCAATTAAACACAGTGTTGTGTAAATGTTATGTCTTCATGCAAATTGTTATTTAACCTAGAAAACTGTAATTAAGGATTCCTCTAAAGTCCAGAAAGCTGGCTGCCTCTTCATGTTGATATTCTCCCATTTTCAATGGACCTCTCCCTCTAAGTTCCTCTTGCTTCAGACAGTCTAAAGCTGTGCCCTTTAAAGGGCTAATCAGGGATTTATTCTTGCCCATAACTCAGAAACTGGGGGAAACCCTTGGTTCATTTATTCATGTATGCAATCATTACTGGTAGAAAATATATGGTGGTCTATAACATATGTAACCACTTGTAGCTGGAAGTTTTGCTCTATCACTAGGATTGCACTGTATTGCAAAGAGGTTCAGCTCTACAATGAGCACGTAGCCAATGCAGGAATAATCTCTTCCTCCCTAACACAGTCATAGTATAAATCCATGTGCCCATGGAGATCTGCAGAAAAAAACAAAATATAATTAAAAGCCATTCTGACATTGGCCATACTAATAACATCTAAAGGACTTGAAATCATTTAAGCACTTTTCTAACATGAATTCTTCCCAGTGGCCTGTGAGAAGCTGCTGTGCAGAATTCCTGTAGCTAAGTGAGCCAGCTCTCAACTGTGCCTCAGCTGGAAGATTTTTTGAAAACTGCCAGCTTACCTCCTAAGGGTGAGGTTTGAGAATTTTATGTTTTTGTTTTTAAATAAGTTTCAGACCTTTGGCTTGTTGTGGATTAGCATAACTCCACTGAAGTCTACCACAACACCCAGATTTTTAAAGGTATTTAGGTATGTACAAATAGTAGAATTTTAAGCAGACGAACTTTCTGTCTCTTGAAACAGATCAGCCCTGACAGACACCATCTCTGCATTCTCCTGCTTAAAAGCTTTTGAAAACACGGAGCTAAATCTGCAACTTTTATGTTAAAAAGTTAACTGGGAGTGATATAGAATCACTGTTGTGGCGGTGATTCAAATTTATGCCAGTTGACAAATTTTAAAGAACGCAGGAAGGCTTATCCTGTCATAGAAATGTCCAAATATATGTTATATATATATATATATAAAATAAGTATGCACTGTAGAAGAAATATATATACCAATTGCAGGGTAGGCAAAAGCATTAGACTGGATGCACTAGATCCCTGTTGCAGTGGGGGAGACAATGTGGATTCAGCCAGTGTTCAAGGAATTGTTCTTCTGATCTCTGCTCCAAGCGCTGGAGATAAAGCATATACTCCTATTTAAAGAAAAGAAGAAGTAATTTCGTTATGTAATCACTCCATTCTAATGTCAGGCCAACGAACCAGCAGAATTTTACAGCTTATGTAAGAGCAATTCATTTACCTCTTAAAATAATCAAATATAGTGAAATAGTCTTGCTAGTCAGCTTGCCCCAACCTAGCAATATTTAATGAATGACATCATCATCCAGATCAGTAAAGGTGGCAAGCAAGAATTTTACAACAATATTCATAAATTTTGAAGTCTACATACACATTTCTCATTTGCATATTAACACAGAAGCCTCTGTTGGTCCTGAGGGCACAGAGGATTCTCACAGATAGGTCTGTTGTAGCCTCTTTTGAAAATTGATTCCTGCTGATTAAAGAACATTAACCCCTTGTAGGATCATGTGGCAGAACTCTGAAGGGTTCTAGGAGGGTAGCACACATCGGTGCTGACTGGTCTTTCTGGGATAAATAAAATAATGTGAATTTCCCATACCAATTTATAAGGAGAAGGTTTGGTCTAAGCAACAAATTACCAAAGTGAAGTGGTCTGTGTATCAAAAACTTGACCTCCTTCAGGAACAAAATTTACTTTTAAAAAGCCCCAGTCCCAGTGCATGTGGGCTCATAAGCTTTGTGAACAGTAGATACATTTATTCCAAATACACCCCATTGCTTTGCACAGCAGGCACTGTTGGAATGGAAGCTGTAGCCTAAACCCTTTGCACTGGCCAAGTATTCCTGCTGTCATCCAGCTCCCTGCTCTTTGTGCTGAGCAGAGGGTGGGTACCCTGGGTGCCAGCAGGCAGCATTAGATTCCTGCCTTTTACTGGGCTTTCTCTCCTCACAGCACAGGGAGACTTGGCTCAAGTCCCTGGTGAGAGACTGCATTAGGAACTGGCAGAGAACAGAACTGTATGACTGAGAAGAGGCCACCTTATAAAAAGCAGGATCTCAGTCAAAGTAAGATTAAAACATGCTGACAACATAAATTACATTTTTGTAATAAACAAAGGGGGCAGATCTTGCTGTCTGTAACTGAACAGGTTTTTGACTCCAGCAGCACTGTGGAAGTCAAAGAGTGTCACAAAGAATTGCAAATTACATTCCCCAGCTCAGCATGATCTGGCCTAGTACAAACAGCTTTTGCTTAAAATAGATGAACAGAGGTGGGTTCATCCCAGAAATCATTTCATTCTGCTACAAAGCATCCATACAAAATCAGTTTTTCTCCTTGAGCCAGTGGTAGAACTGTGCACAGGGATGCAGCAGCCTTGCACCTTCACTCACAAGGGACAATCTCCATTTTCCACATGGCAGCAAGGGTTGGCTTTTTACCAGAAGATGTTTCCTTTGCTACTGAAAACCTCGACAATTAGTGAGCAAAACAAACACTCTTATGTTTGGGTTTTCTTACAGAAGGTCAACTTTGCTGTCTGGAAAAAAAAAATAAAAAGAAGGTTGGAATTCCTCAACAAGTGTTTGCTCCTAATTGAGTAGGATGGAGAGTGGCAAGGACAGAACAGCTGAGTCAGTGATACAACATTTCTCTAGCCCTGGCTCCCTTCTGTCCCCACACAATGTCATAGACTCATAGAGTGTCTGGAGTGGGAAGGAACCCATAGGGATCATCAAGTCCAACTCCCTGCTCCTCACAGGACTCCCTAAAACTAAACCATAGACTAAATGCTGCATGTCTGCTTGTAACTTCTTGCAATACAGGATTTACCTCAACCCAACTGTTCTACTGCTTTATTTACTTTGTATTCAATATGTGCTATATTTACTATATAACATTAATCCTGGTGGTATATTAAGCATGAGCACAGATGGGAGCTGTATTCCTGCTAATTTGCAAAAACTGCAGGGCTCATTTAACAACAGCTTAGAAACCAACCCCTTCCTGAGTGTTGTGGGCAGCAGTGAAGCCTTGTGAGTTTTGGCTCTGTTGTGCAATCCTCAGTGTACAAGGTTGTTAACAAGTGTGGAGCAACATCCTTGTGACAGCTTTGATTTGTCGTGGTGTCACACCTGACAAACAGTGTCCATCCAGAGTGGTGCAGGCCAGGTGGATTCTTTTTGGCTGGTGTACAATACCCACTGGAAAGGGAAAACCAGGAGCTGTCTCCACAGTCCTGGCACAGTCTCAGCTCAATCCTCAAGGTCTCTAGTGCTCCTCATGTCTTACAGAGTTCAGAGATGTTCAGTACCTCGCCAAACTGAGCCCCTTGCACTCGTCACACACTCACAGTCCGTTGGTGCTTCTGGCTTCTGTGGGGTTTGCCTCTTCAGAACCATGTAATTTTAGCTCAGCTTATTTACTTTGGAAAGGAGCAAGCAGTAATTTTAAAATACCTTAAGTACCCTTGAGAAGTGCAGAATTATATGTTACATCTTGTCAAAGCAAGTAAAACAGAAGGCCTTTTAATTCTTTTACTTTTTCTTTTGTTGTAATGGGGTTTAGAAATAAATATGTGTAGATATCACACGCAAACCCAATGCTGTTGCATTAAGCTAGCAACTAAAAACTCCTACAATATCATAAAAAAAATCCTATCTGTAGCACTCATAAATAAGTGAATGAAAGTGATTTTAAAAGCTAGTTGAGAACTACCTCAATCTCCACACTGACCACTGACACCTGCATCTCCTCTCTGCCCACAGTGCAGAATGTACCTCAAGCAGAAGACATTTCCTGTTATTTAGTTTTTCAGGAACAACCTGATGAAATCCACATTTCTGTAAATGAAAAGCCACTTTCTTCTCGATAATTCAATTGGTGTTTTTGAGCCGTGATAAATAATCTGCACGTTCTGGGAGTGAACATTTCCTGAGCAATACTCAGCACTTACCGAGAGAGTGCAAAGGGGATTTTTAACATTTCGTGGGAGAACTCAGCAGCTGAAAAGGGTGACACTCATAACACATTGCTTGGAATTAAATCTGTAGAAACTTAATGCTAAGCACAAACGTTTTGGGGGTTTTGGTGTTGGGTTTTTTTAGTTAATGTAGTTTAATAGTAAATGTCAAATCACCCTCATTGGCTCGTCAGGGAAACCAGCTTTTCTCGGTCTGCTTTCACGACGAGTTCTCAGAAGCTGTTTGGCCTCTTTTTCAGACAAAATTGGTGAAGTGTCTAAAGACAGAAAAGCAGAAATTAGTTCTGAAATTATTAAAAAGTTAATATTTTACCTGTCACTTGCAAAATGAAGTGTCTCCAAACCTGATTTTTGTCTATATACAAAGTGTTCTTTCTTTACAGCCCCTTCCTAGGGGATATTGCATTCCAGGAGATAGGAATGGAATTTTAAACTATTTTTATACTTGTGTTTTCTCTAGTTCTACTAGTATGAAGCAAAGTCTACATATTCATGTTACTATAAAATGAGGAACTATAACAGCACCATCTAACCACTGGCATTAGTGACTCTTCCAACTCTTTGTTCTTTTCTGTGTTGCTTTATAAGATTCTTTTTCAAAGTAATGAGTTAGATGTTGAAAAGGAGAGATTGCAATGAACATTCCACTTGCAGGACCTTGGTAAAATAAGATTAAAATAGTAAGCTACTAAAATTAAACTTTTTGGGTTTACAACAAATTACTACAGTGTGGTGATGCAGAGAGTTAAACACCAAATACAACAGCATGACTGTTAAAAATCGAATAGTAGAAACCCTGCAGTATAAAAAGTTAAGTACTAAAAGGGAAAGATATGAAAATATATGAATAATGAAAACTAAAATAGAAGGTTGAACTAATGCTACTTATATGCTCTTCAGCTCTACACACGTACACAGGTTTGTTGACTCCTACCTGTAACAGTGGTCATCAGGACCAAAAAGGAGACAAACACAAGAAACTTCTTCATTTTGATTCTGCTTTCTCTCGGTCTGTTCCAAAATGAGTAACACTGACCAAGGCATCCTCTTATTTGAAGCAGCTACGTCGGTCACAAATGTTTGTTTATGCTTTAATTTGGGCGACAGTATGATTTTGAGAACAGCTGGTCTGAAGGTTTGAATTAGTCTATTATCTGCACACACATTCTCAGCATAACTCTGTTCCTGGGGGAAAGAAAATAGAAGACCTTTTTTCCGCTTCAGGCTTCGGAGTTACACTGGGTATTTTAGATTTGTGAAAATAAAGCACATCACCTTACATTTGGCACAGCAAGCGAAGGTTTTGGGTGCCTAAAGTATATTAGGGTTTTTTAAAGAAACAATTGCCTATTACAGAATGTTAATCTCAAAGGCAGCTGCAAATCTGTTTCAAAGATTGTCTCTAACTTTACTCCAGCAGAGAAGTACATAGTAAAGGGGTTTAACTCTAGCAAAGCCAAATTATCACTGCTGAGAAACACAGCAGAGTTTTTTACCAAATTAATAGAATCATACAAGTGAAAATTCACATAATTCCTCTCATTGCAGGGCAAGCTAGTAGAAAATAGGATTATAAATGTCCTTACTAGTAAACACAGTGTGAAGTAAGGATGAAGGTTAACAAATGTCATTGCGAACAGGTAGTTTCAGCCTTGAGAAATGTGACTGTCTGGAGCTCTCCTGGGCAGTGCCATGTTGGACATAAAAATCTAAAAGCTAAAAATGTGAGTGCTGTGGGCACAAGGGCTTGACCAGAGTGAAGCATGAGGTGGGGATGGGGCAGTTCAGGGGTCAGGCTGTTCTGATGTGCTTTTCTGATAGGACTTTTCTTGGAAACCTCGGTATTGGCCACTCGTGGAGCATTTGCATTTTTCAGACCCTAAAATCCCAAGAAATTTTTTATATATTGTATGGATTTATGTCGTCGCTCAAGATACTGTTTTGAAAGCGCAAAAACCTGTAGGTTCTAGTAGCAGTCACTGTTCTTAGAACTGCTGCAGGGGAAACAGCCGAACACATGAGGGCAGAATGAAATTATGGGGGGAAACATTTATGTTGGGCAATAAAGGCACAACTCGGGGGGACCTCATTGCTCTCCACAACCACCTCAAAGGAGGGGGTAGTGAGGTGGGGGCCCATCTCTTCTGCCGTGCCTGCAGTGAGAGGACCAGAAATGGCCTTAAGCTGAGACAGGGGAGATTCAGATTAGATATTAGAAAAATTTTTCACTGTTTGTGTGGTCAGGCATTGGAACAGGTTGCCCGGGGAGGTGGTGGAGTCACCATCCCTGGAGGTGTTTACGAGGAGCTGGGTGATGTGGTTTGGTGGTTTAGGGGTTACAGTGGCAGTGCTGCTGGACGGTGTGACAGGATGATCTTAAAGGTCTCTTCCAGCCTTGATGATTCCGTGATTCTACGACAGAACGAAATTATGGGGAAGAGCATTTATGGTTGGGCAAGCAAGGCACAAACAGGGCGGTGATCCGGCCTTCGCCTCGGGCCCGGGCCAGGCGGAGCCGGAGCCGAACCGCTCCGTCACGCACTGTGGCGGGTGCTGGAGGCCCCCCTGGCGACATCCCCGATGTCGCGACAGGCCGGGGCGGGCGGCGCCCGTCTCCTGGCAACCGCCCTCGGCCGCTTCTTCCGCTTCCGCCGCCCGCGCGTCCCGCGGCGCCGCTCGGTCCGCGCCGTGTCCTGCGGGCCCGGCACTGCCCCGGCACTGCCCCGGCACTGCCCCGCCGGCGGGGACCTCCGCGGGCCGAGGGAGCGGCGCGGGGGGCGAAGGGCCGCGGGCGGGGCCGCGCCGTGCCCCCCGCGGAGGGAAGGGCGAGGGGCGGCCGGGGCCGAGCGGCCGCTCCCCCGCGGGAGCAGCCCCGGGGGCGGCCCGGCCCCGCGCCCGGCCCGGGCGGGCGGCGGAGGAGCCCCCGCAGGAAGCCTCTCGCCCGCCCCATGTGGCGCAGGTCGGTGCCGAGCCGCGGGCAGGGATTAGAGGATGGTTCATGAAGCTGCGCGCTGGCTCCCTGAGCGAAGGGGCCGTGCCGGAGCTCGCCCCGCCGCCCGCCCGAGCGGAGCGAGGGGTTAGTGCGGGGAGCCGCGGGGATGGAGGGCCCGGGCGGGGCCGACTGGCGCCTGGCGCTCTGGACGCTGTTCTCCGTGCTGCTGCCCGTGCTCATCACCGCGTGGTGCAGCTTCCAGCGGTCGCGGCGGCAGCTGCTGATACGGGACATCTTCCGCAAGAGCAAGCACGACTGGCACTACACGGACCTGTTCGGGCAGCCCTCGTACTGCTGCGTGTGCGCCCAGCACATGCTGCGCGGAGCCTTCTGCGGCTGCTGCGGGCTGCGCGCCAGCGAGCGCTGCCTCAAGAAGGCGGACCAGCGCTTCCTCTGCAAGGAGATCATGACGAGAGGCGCCGGGGCAGCCCAAAGCTCCATCCCACACCACTGGGTCAGGGGCAACGTCCCCCTCTGCAGCTGCTGCGTGGTGTGCAAGCAGCAGTGCGGCACCCAGCCCAAGCTCTGCGACTACAGGTACTGCTGGGGGCTTAGACTCTCTAACACAGCGTACGGTGCCCTGTCGGTGTTGTATTTTCTGCGGGGTTAATGGTAGACATCACCCCCAAGGAGGTCCTGCAGTAGTCAGATAAGAAATCGTTAAAAAACAACAACCTCAAAGAGCCTAAAATTAAGATGGATGCTTGTGGGTAATTTGAGTCATAGATTAAGATTAATGTGGCATTGCATCTCATGTCCACTGGTTCTCTTAATTGCATTACTCCAGCACGATGGGCAAGCTGCTGTGGAGTTACATAGAAGAGACTCTGTGTCCAAGAGAGTTTGTGTTTTAGGGGGTGACATTAAGGAGGTTCTGATACATTTGTCATTTGTACAGTGGGTAGCCTCAGCAATGGGGGGCACAGCTCACAGTTCAGGACACCAGAGTGTGTTTGCACATCTCAAAATTGGCATCTGCTCAGTGCAAATAGAACAAACATCTGTCCTATAGAGGTTTCAGTTTTATTTTTAAGGATGCACTAAAAAAGCTAATGGGAAGTTTTATAACCTACTGTAATTCAATCTGTTGTTAAAAGTTTCTGCTAAGAGTGTTTAAGAATTGAAGGAACCATTAAATGGGCTTTCACTGTCATTAGTAAGGCTACTTGCAAACTTGTCTGTGGCATGTTGTGCCAAAATACAGTGATAGTGCCCTAGGTCCTGGATACAGTGTGTTCAGACTTCCCAAAGGATGTCCTCTTTTAAGCATATATTCTACCAGCTTTTGCTTTGCTTCTGTGTGATACCAGCAAACTGCTTGGTAAGTAAGCAGAATTACAGTATAAGAGTATTACTTTCAGAAACAGAACCTTGAGAGTGTGTGTAGAAGAAGAAAGGGGAGGAATTTGGAGGCAAAGGGGAAAGGAAGGAAGAAGAGGAAAAGAAAGTCACGGTATAGGGCAAGTATCATTGGTACTCGTGTGTTGGATTAGTCAGGGGAACTCCAAAAATAGCTTTCCCAGCTGCTTAAATCAAGGCTTTGGATGTACCAAATGAGGATTAACATTCTGCAGAGGCTGGTAGTGGATATTGCAGTATTTCCTCTTGTTCCAGTCCGTTTTCCAGGGCAGCTTTTAGAAGAGGTCAAAAAACACAGCAGTTTTGCATAACAAAATCCCATCAGCATTGCACTGTGCCTTTTAGGTTTCAGATTTAAAGGGGTATTAGCAATATTAAGAAATGCATCAATTAATATTACCAGTAGTACTTTATTGAATTGAACTCGAATGTTTTATCTGTGCTCTTTAAGGATGGAGAGGAGTTCAGGTTCTCATACAGGCTTTCAGTGCAACTGTTAATATCACAAACAATGCAGGAGGATATTTATAGCACCTATATTTTACTGAGAACAAAATTAATTTACAACTCTCGGGGGTTTTTTCCCCACAGAATTCAAATGCTTTCCTAGACTTGAAAGCACATGAGCAATTTATGTAATTTTCTGTAGCCAATACATAGTTTTCCAGGGAATGCAGGGTTTTCCCTGTAATGTGCTTTAAATATTACTTATAATGGTGTGTGCCAACATAAGTACTTTGCTGAAAGTTAGTCTGTCTAAAATAATTGAGCAGAATCAACATGCCTGTTGTTTGAGGGTTGTTTTCATGTTCTTTGGTCTTTTATTCCAGATGTGCATGGTGTCAGTACACTGTGCATGATGAATGCATGGTGGATTGTTTAAGGACTGAGGAGTGTACATTTGGAGAATTCAAAGACTTAATTATCCCACCCTACTATTTGTCTACAATCAACCAGATGCGAAAGGACAAAAAAACCAGTTATGAAAAGGTAATGGCCTCCTGCTTCTTGGACCAAATAAACCCACAAACACACAATGAAACTTGAACTCAGTGCATTGTCAGGTTAATAACTATCAGGTAAATGTTCCAAGGTATAATAAATACTTGCTGTGCTAATTCAGAGGTGTTTGTCATTTTACTAACATGGTTGTTGAAGCACAAGTGTACAGGTGAGCTTTTTTATTCCAAAATACTGAGCTTTGGGTACCTTACTTTCTTGAATGTTTTGTGATTTTTTTTTTTTATTTTTTTTTTTTTTACTGCTGTGTTTTTTTTTTTTTTTTTTTTTTACTGCTGTGTTCATAACATTGTAGTGGTTTTTTTCCTGGGGACTGCAGAATCTTCAGCCTTGGTGTGTCAGAAATATTTGTTTCTGTTTTGACTGCTTCAGACTAATTGGTGACTTCCTCCTTTCAGCACTTACAGGGGATGGGTTTTGGAGCAAGGCTGAAAACACTTTCAAAGGTGCAGTATTTGTGTGACTGACTGACTTTCACCCTTTGCAGGTGGTACCTTACTGCAGAAAACACTGGATGCCAGTGATCATACTGGCAAATACTCGCAGTGGGAACAACATGGGTGAAACTTTACTTGGAGAATTTAAAATGCTGCTGAACCCCGTTCAGGTACTTGCTGTGAAAAGCCACTATCCTAAAATGAAGGTTTAAATTAGAATAAACATCACTTCGCTTACACAATGGCACCAGGGCCTTGTGGAAGATCAGTAGGAAACAAATTCATGCAGTTTGTTGCTTTAGAAAGAACAGCTTCATAAAGAGTGTAGAGACTCCTCCCACCCCCAAGTGTAGAGACTCCTCCCACCCCCAAGTTTGTTTGTGATTCTAATATCAGTCCAGATTTTTTTATTTACAGTAATAATGCAGTCATTAAGTTAATGAGAAGTATCTGACTCTTGAAACAGGATACACTTTTTGGAAAATGAAGTATTTAGATATTCTTAATTTGAAACCTGTATTTTAAATCCTCACTTGTGGAAATGTCAGCATTTACAGTTTCTGCTGTGTGTAGTTGCTTTCTCTTAAAATCCCTGTGGGATGGCACAGGATGTTGATGTAAGGCAGGCAGTTGTTCCCTGGATTTCCTGGCTGCACCTTAATACTCTTCCTTTGAAGTTCAAAACCCAGCCATGGAATACAGCCTAAGAGAAATCACTGTGCATTTGTTTTAAATGCATCAAAGAATGAACCTCTTTGTGTGCTGGGTGTTTTAAAATTACTTTTATCTGAAGTCTTTCATCTTTACAGAATTCATCATCATGCTTCTACATACAGACTTTTCTGAGGACTCTCTCAGCTCAGTTTAATAAAGTCCATTTAATCCTAGTGAAAGAGCTGGAGCTCTGTTGTGAATTTGGGAAACCAAATCCTGCTCATAAAAGTCAGGACAGCTCATTTGCCAATGTGATATTGTAAATGGAGGATCTTTGTTTTGCATTGGAATGAGCTTCTCAAAGTTGTTTATCCATGAGGCAAATTCTGAGCCACGTTGTGTGAACTTATGGAATTCCTTATTTCCCTCTCTTCCAGGTTTTTGATCTGAGCAAAATTGCACCTGCTAAAGCCCTCCAGCTCTGTACCTTGCTGCCTTGCAACGCTGTCAGGGTTCTTGTCTGTGGTGGGGATGGCACAGTGGGCTGGGTCCTGGATGCCATTGATGAAATGAAGATAAAGGTATTGTGGTTTTAATTTTAAAAATGTCTTACCGATGAAATGAGTTTTGTTGCTGTTGTTGCTACCCCTTATCTCTTGCCTGTATTTATTGCCTTCATCTTCCTGAATAGGCCTGCAGAGAAATGTTTGCAGAATTGCTTATTCATATTGGGGGAGGGCTGGGGGAAGTGCATCTTGTAGTTCAGGAAAAATATGACAGCTTTTTAAAGTTGTTCTCTTCTGTAAAACAAGACAAGAACAAGCTGCAGGATATTTTATGCATTGTTATTTCCTCTTTGTCTAAACAGATTTATTTTGTCATAAACAGCGTGGCTGACACTGGCTAATGTGCTCTGACTGCTTGCTTCTCCCAGCACTCTCAATCTTTTATAATAACCTCATAATTTTGCCAGCTGTACTGGTTATATTGCCAGTGCATGAATGAGAGCAGTAATTTGCTTCTGCTCCTTATCATATATTCTGAAGAGTCTGTCTGCCTGCACCCTCACCTATTAACAGCAAGTAGAGAAGGAAAAAATAAGCTGTTTACTGCTGATTTGAAATGGAAGATAATTCCAGTTTATGGGGTATTACTAAGAACTCCTGAGAAGATTAAGAATGAAGAATAATTACAGGGGCTTTAGTGCTTTACCTAATAAACTTTCTTCTAGTGCTAAAAGGAAGTTACTCTTCTTATATCAATGTCTTTTTTTTTTTTACTACAGCTTTCTTGTTAATACATGAAATATTGTAGTTGAAGGCCATTATTACAACTTCATGCATAATCAAACTCATCTTGAGAATTATTGTGTGCTGATAAAGTAGAAATAAAGTAACTATAAAGGTTAATGAATATGAGGGTATGGTTACATGGTCTTGGACACTTGATATATTGTCCCTCAGAGCCAATAGAGTTCATGAAATCTGGGTTTTTCTTTGCTCAAATCGAGTCACTGGTGTTAGGTAAATACTGTTGAGGTTATTATCAGCAGGAGGTTATTTGCTCCCTTCATTTATCATGACTCTCAAATACAGGTTACCTGGCTGATAACTCTGCTTGAAAAAATAGTAACCACGGTGCCAATTCACTGCAAGTGCTTTTCACAGCTGAATTTCCAAGGCCATAGTACATGTGAAATAACTACTCACCCTGCTGTGGTGAGGAGAGCCAAGCCCTTTGCTAAGGCAGCTGTTCTGAGTGTCTGCTTCTGTCACTGTGCTCTGCAGAGGTGTTTAGCACCTGCTCCATCTGTGGGTGACAGTCTGAAAGCGAGACACTGCCTCTCCTCCCGTACGTGTGTGTGTCTCTCTGTGTGGTTGAACACTGGCATTATGTGCATGTGTTGTTTAGACCCATCCTCACCTCAGCCTGTAAGAGCATTTTGGTGTCTTGTTGTTCACAGTCTGCTGTGTTACATCTCTCAGTTCATATCACTTCCCAGATCCAAAGCATCATTGCTTTGAAGGAGTACTCTGTTCAGTGTTCCTAATGCACTGTTTCCATATTGTCTTTGTATTGTCTTTCCTTCCCACAGCAGTTTAACATTTCCTTCCTGTACATTATCCCTGTGGTAAGCAGTTCAATGTGCCACCTGCTGTGCCGACAGTGCCAGCCCAGTGCCCTGCTCTGTGTCACAGGCTGCTGTCAGGATTTATGGTATTTACCTAATCTGAGCTTTTGGGGCTGAAATGGAGACAATGAGTGCTGGAGCAGGAGCTGACACGCAGTGGTTTTGTGTCCTAGGGGCAAGAACGATATATCCCACAAGTTGCAATTTTACCTCTGGGAACAGGGAATGACCTGTCCAACACACTGGGCTGGGGGGCAGGTTATGCTGGAGAAGTCCCTGTGGAACAGATCTTACGGAATGTCATGGAGGCAGATGGAATCAAACTAGACAGGTAAGGAACAGTGAAAAGGTAAAATGTGTAGGACCCAGCACTGCTGTAGCTCTGCTGATGTAGCTCTGCAGCACTTTATGTAAAGAAACACAAGTGTTGCTGGAAGGAACTACAAAAACTGAGGTCCAAATTTGGTCTTTATGAAATTGTTCTGCAGGGCTTAACTCTTCCATAATTTAACTAAATTTAGTCTTTTGACTTGATCCCAGTATAGATATAGGATTCCTAACTGCAGCCTTATACTGAGAACTGTCACGAGTCTAAGTAACAACTGTTGTTTTTCAGATGGAAGGTTCAAGTAACAAACAAAGGATACTACAACTTAAGGAAACCAAAGGTATGGCTTGCAAGTATAAACATGAATTCTGTGGAATACCTGTATAGGTGTTTTTCTGTTTACCAACTTCCCACTAAACACTCTGAATTTTAAACCCTAATAATAATAATATTTAATAAGGCCATAACTGGAAGTTCTGTCTTACAGGTATTCACAATGAACAACTACTTTTCTATAGGACCTGATGCTCTCATGGCTTTAAATTTCCATGCTCATCGTGAGAAGACTCCCTCTCTGTTTTCCAGCAGAATTATCAATAAGGTGGGTTTGGTAAAGTGGGATTTCCTCCTTGTAGTTGTGGATTTGACTTAAGGCTATTTTCTGCTTTACATTGCTTCACTCCCCTACTTCCTTTCATGCAGTTTTAAGAGTTTGAATCCATTTTTCTTGGTGAGGGGATTCCATGGGTAAAAAAACATTTCCAGCCCACTCCCAAGTGTTACAGCCTTGGCTCTGCTTACAGAATTTGCTGTTTGTTCAGTTTTTACTCAGAATTTCTCATTTGCTTTGAAACTTAGTGGGTTAAAGACATTGCCTATTTCCTTTTCAAGTGGAAAGTAACTTTCTGATTCAAGTTGTAGCCCATCTCATTTGGAAACTTAAGTTTGATGTGGAAATATATTACGTATGAGGTTTAGATAAGGTTTGCAAAGCCATAACTGTACATGAATATTTAAAATAGTCTCCATATGTTATCTTTTTCTAACAGTGTTTTCTTTTCTCCCTGTTTTGTTTTGGGTTTTTTTTGTAGGCTGTTTATTTTTTTTATGGAACCAAAGACTGCTTAGTACAAGAATGTAAAGACCTTAACAAAAAGGTTGAGGTAAGTTTTTTTAGCTTGCTTATTCTCTGGATAGTCAGTGGAGTGTAAAAACTTATGGGGAAAAAAAAAGGGAAGAAGCTTTGCACTTTACATCTATCTGTGTGATATTTGTGTAAGGGTGGGTCTGGCCTTGGAGTGTTTTTGATGTTCCTTTTGCTATCTGCAGCTTCCTTCATGGAGTTTGTGTCTTTGAGCTTACTGAAAATTCCTAATTTTTTGTCTGGCCTTGACTCAGTTCTATGAGTTCAAGCACTGATATTCAGATAAAATTTGCCTTAGCACCAGAGGCATACACAAGTGAGAGTTCTTTCTCTTTTCTTTACTAACAGAAATTTAGTACAACTCAGGATATCTTGGGAAATCAGAAGTAATTTTTTTTTAAAGTATTGAAAGAAAACACATTCTATTTGTACAGGGCCAATTTTCCTTCGAATGGAAGCTTATTAAAAGAGCATAAAGAGAATAACTAGCTTATACTGAAGTACTGAATTTGATCCACAGTAATTAACTTCTGTTTGTCTTTTAAAGCTAGAGTTGGATGGTGAGAGGATCGAGTTGCCCAATTTGGAAGGCATCATTGTGCTGAATATTGGATACTGGGGAGGTGGCTGCAGGCTCTGGGAAGGAATGGGGGATGAACCTTACCCCTTGGCAAGGTACACAGTGCATTTTTGGCTTTGCTTTTTTCCTTTAACTGTCCTTGTAGTGTAGGGAATTCCCTCCAGCAGACTGTGCTTACTGCAGATCAGAAGGATGCCTAGGCTGTCTCACATTTATTTTCCTCTTATTAGAGACTTGGACTAAATGCATCCCACACATCAAGGGGTTTTTTAAAGACTTTTTCAAAATGTCTGGCATGACAGACAGCAGTAGCATTGAAGAGGCTGTTACAAATTAAGGTAACACCTTCAAAAGTATGGATCTATTTCAGAATCTTAAAGAACACATCTCAATGGAGGTTAAAATAGAAAGTAAAAACAAAACATGTCCAAATTTTAACTCCTATGCTTGAGTAAACTGGAGCAATACTAAGGAGAAAAATGTATGGGAACATTAGTTATTCCCTCCTGTGACTTCCTTCTTCAGAAGCCATATATATAAATATACTTTGTAGTTCTGTTACAAGGCTTGTGATCCTGAAAGATTTCTGAAAGATTTCTGAAAGATTTCTGAAAGATTTCTGAAAGATTTCTGAAAGATTTCTGAAAGATTTCTGAAAGATTTCTGAAAGATTTCTGAAAGATTTCTGAAAGATTTCTGAAAGATTTCTGAAAGATACTTGGGCAAGGTCCTTTACCCAAATCTGAAAAAAATTAAGCCATTAAAAGATTTTCCTGTAGGTTAATATCTGAGTGAAAAGAAAGAAAATTTTACAAGTTCATTGAAGAGAAGTCCACTGTGAGCTTTAAGTAAACACAATGAGCCTTGGGAAGTCACGTATCCATAATTTCCAGAAGCCAGCTGGTGTGTTCCTCCGTAATTGCAGGGTTTGATGGTTTTATTTGCTGTTCAGTGTGCTTTGTTTTCCAGCACAAATAGATAACCCTATTTGTAGAACATTTGTCCTCTCTGTGTGGAAGCCATAAAAGGACTGTGCAATATTTGGACAGGTATGCTATGAGCTCATGAGCATCACTAAGAAGAGTCTCCTGTTTTTGTTTCACAGACATGATGATGGACTTCTGGAAGTTGTTGGTGTTCATGGTTCTTTCCACTGTGCCCAGATCCAGGTTAAACTGGCCAACCCTGTTCGCCTGGGGCAGGCACACACAGTGAGGGTAAGTGCTCCTTGGGAACCTGCTTCCCTAAATTTTTTTTTTTAATACACAGTACAGAATCTCAACCACTCAGCTGTCAGATCTGAAGTTGCAGTTTGCAGTTGAGGTAGATGTTTCTCTTGCTTAGTAAAAATTAATTATGTCCTAATTCATGGCCTTGGAGTGATCAGTGGCCTGTGAGTGCAGCTCGTTCTGTGCTGGTTTCTCCCTGTCCAGGCTGGAAACATGCCTGGCATCAGCACACTGGACCTGGAAAAGGTGTTTTCAGGGCTCCTTTGAGCTGCTGTGATTGTGTGTTGTTCTGTTTGATCCCAGCTGATCCTGAAGAGCTCCAAGATGCCGATGCAGGTGGATGGAGAGCCCTGGGCCCAGGGGCCCTGCACGGTCACCATCACCCACAAGACTCACGCTCTGATGTTGTACCACTCGGGGGAACAGACGGACGACGACGCTTCCAGCCTGTCTGAGTAGGACCTTGGGACAGAGCAGATGGATGAGGACACGGAGATTTTATGGAATTCAACGTGAGACAGCGAGGAACTTCAGCTGGTTAAAACACACCTAATCTAGAGTGAGGTTTATGTCGTAAAGTTCATACTTGGGAATGAACTAGAGCTGAGGAAAAAGCCATGCTTTGACACTTCTGAAAACTTTCACAGCTGAATTACCACAACTAATTTGCCTTTTACACTGGTGGTGATGCCCTCCAGCCTTTCTAGCAGGAGTGAGTTACTCTAACGCCTCAAAAAGACAGATGCTGCAGCCCTTCCTTGCTGTGGAATCAGACCTTCTGCACAAACACAGTACAGTAGGTGGATGTTTCATACCCTTGGAAAGGGGAACAGCTGGGAGTCTGACCTGCTGCCACCTACCCTCTTTCTGAGAACAGAAAACCAGGCCAAGTAGGATGTGGGCTGATTTCCTGACAGCAGCCTGCTCCTGGCTGCCACCTCTGCTTGGGAGCAAGAGAAATAACTGTCTGCACAGTGCATTTCTAATCTGTTCTCTGAGAGAGTGGAGCATCTGGAAGCTCTTGGGAAGGTGGTCAGCAAGAAAAAGATGCTTTTGGACCAAAGGTTTCTGGAAATGTTCTGTCAGTGAATGACCTTTTTCAGTGGCTTTGTAAGCCATAAAGTACCCCTGACATCCTGAGTATCCAAGATACAACTCAAAGTAATTGTACCATGACTTGCACTGAATGATCCTGTAACTTGACTCTGCTTCAGTTCAGTGAGAGACTAAAGCTAGTTTTTGTAAATAACAGCATCACAGTTCTTGGGGAGGCTTTTTGGAGGCAAACGTGGACAAAGAGCAGCCTTTTTCAGCTGTTCAGAGGGAAAGGTTTTAAAGAAATAATGATGATTGACAAATGTGGGGTATTTTTTAAAGACTTGTTAAAGTTCTTGGCTCGTAATTACCTGAGAATGGTCAGTAGTAAATCAGTCTGTTAGCTGTGTCCATTTTAAGTGTGGAGGTTGAGAGCTGAGTTTGCAGAGGTTGGCAGGTTCTTGCATTCCTGTGTATAATTGGATTGTGAAAAAAGCATGAAGGCATTTGTTTTCTGACTGGCTGTTAGGGAGTCAAAGACACCTTGTTGGTACCTACATTTCCCTTATGAATATAAGGTGAGAAAAAGATGAAGGGTTGAAGGTTCAGAACATGTAAACAGTACACAGGGACTGTCAGTTTGGCCTATCTGAAGCTTCTCAGGTTAAAGCTTCTCAGGTGAAAACATCTTCATGGTTAACAAAAGCAAAAACCTGCTTCCTTTTCCCTCTTTTGTTGTAGGCATTTTAAGCCTGCAGTGGGTGAGAGATGAATTGGGGTTTAAAATGTCAGTTTAGTCCAGTTCAGTTACTGAAGGTGCTCTTCCAAGTAGGAAGAGAATTTATGCTGCATAAGCCAGGATTGTAAGAGAGGTTGAGAGCTCTGGTCTGAACTTTAAATGTTGCTGCTTTTGTCATTAGTCCCCCATGTTTGTTTGTTTTTTCTTTGTGCTTACAGGAAGTGAAACCCACTGGGTAAGGTAGGCTGTGTTTCTAGGTTTTCTAAAATGAAACCATTTTTTCAGCAATCTGTAAAATGATGTTTTCATTAACAGTGAACGAACTATTTATATTTTAAAATAATTTATTGAAAACTTGGCAAAGTCAGTATTTTTAAAACCTTGAATTGTAATCCTCTTTGGAGAGTGTTTTTAACTTGATGGTATTCCTTGTAGAACGTGTATGTACTAGAACTTCAATACTACTGATTCTCGGTGAATTTATAGCTGTCTGAAAATGTGATTAGAGTGGAATGAGCTGTAAACAGAAGCCATTTGTAAATTCCATATTCATTAGCCTTATACACCTCATTTTAATTATTTTATTGTATGTAAATATAGATAAAAAATAGTTAAATCTATGTAAAAAGTGTTTAAAATACCCTAAGTATGATATGTTAGATGAATCCACTACCTTTTTTTTTTTCAGTTACAAGGTTCAGTTTGTATTAGCAAAAATCCTACCAGTTAAGTTATTTTATATTTTTTTTTTATAACTTGTTACCATCAGCATCCTAAAAATATTTAAGTTCTATGCTCTGGTTCTTATCTAACTGTTGTTTACAAACAAATGACAAGTCTCTGGAAAAGCAGGGTGTGTGCTCTGAAAGGCAGTTTTTGCTCAAGAGAAATGACACCACTGGCTACTTTAAATGATGCAGTTTAAAGAGTTACCTGAAGTTGATGAGGTGATCAAATTGATTCAAATTGGTTTATAGCCTGAGAACTTTTAACTGTTCAAAAACTTCAGTCTTTGGGCTCCTGACATCTAAAAGAGAAATAAGTGATGCCCAGGCTTTGAAGGCTCCTTGTGTTGCTGTAGGTGAGCAGTGAGTTGGTTTCTCTGCCCCAATGGGTGTTTGTGCATCCTGCCACTTACTGCAGCTCCCTGGGAGTCCAGAAACCCTCTGGGAAATGTAAATCCATCATTGCTACTGGAGAAACCAAGTGAAAGCATCTCATTGGGTGCTTGTTTGGCAAAACCCCCTGGTAAATGGCCGTGTTTGTGGAGGTGAAGTTTGTGTCTCAGATGGTGATGGCAGCAAATGTAGCCGTGGTGAGCACGAGGAAGCCTCTTGTGAAATGGTATTGATGGTTCTTTAAGGTTGAAATGTCCAGTTCCCAGTGGGCCGTGGGCTCACCCTTGCACTGTAACTGTGTAGCTGTCATACCGTGACACAGAATGTTCTTGTGAGACACACATTGTTAGCACTGGCATCTGTTGGGAAGTCTTGCTGCTTCCAACTGTCCTTTGGTTTCAGTGTATCCTCCTTCCCTCTTGTTGCCAACTGGGTTAACACCTGTTTTCAGTTCCCTTGCTGGAACTGGTTTTGGTCCAACTGCAGATGGTTGGTGTCAGCAGTGGGCTCCCAGAGTCTAACACAGCACGAATGCTCTTGGCTGATCTGTAACAGAGCTGTAGCTGCCTGATACCCTGTGCATTGTGACTGTAAACTGTTCCATGCTTTTTTAATGTTGTAGTGCATAAAGCACCAGTTCAATCAGCTACAAGAAGGGGATACTCCTCCTGTAGCTTGGAATCCTGAAAACCACACAGAGAGAGCCTGTCTCTGTCTGGGAGAGGGGACTCTGCAGCTGGAGCTCCTGTCCTGCGTGGAAGAATTTTCCCTTATCCTATTAATCATTAACATTGGAAAAATAGTGAAAGCAATGTTTCAAAAAGACAAGTAATGAATTGTTTTTTCTGTCAGTCTTCATACAGCAAACAATAACATCAGTGGTCAAGCACTTAAAAGCAAATTCACAATGTTTAAGTCTTATTGCTGCATTTATCAGCTTAACTGAAGTTCGGTCTGATAACTTAACTTTACTGTGGTTTCTCAGTCCTGTGACATGAAATACAAAAAGTTTGCATGGGAAGCCTTTCAGTGGGTCAGCTCCCTGCCTGGCTCACACCGGGCTTGTTTGCAGGTGTTGAGAAGGTGTGGTGGGTGTTTCCCTGTGCACAGAACCTCCTGTCATAGGCTTTGTTTGACTTTGTGTTTTCACTTCAGCAATTCGTAGCAGGGTTAAGCTGTTTCAAATGCCAGCTGGATCTTTCTTCCCGTCTGGACTTCACAAAAAGTCGAAACCTGCATTTTTTGTCTTCAAAAACAGCTGAGGTAAATGGCATTCATTTATGCTTCGGCGTTTTTTTGGTATGTCTGTTGTTCTTGGTATTTAAAGCAGGTCAGGGTAGTGTTTAGAGCATACCTTTAACAGCATTTTAGAATTTTTGCAGTTATTGAAGAACACAGTCTTGTGTTTTCTTTCCCTGCAATAGTAATATATTGGTTTCAAATTAATTTGGGATTCTGTTCAAATTTGAACATTTTTCTCAGCACTGTTACGAATTGCATTTCATGTTTATAATGTAAAAACTATAGCATAATTTATGTATTTGATACTTTTTATATGTTCACTTCCAGTGTTTCTCCATATGGTTTTTTCCCCCCGGGCTTGCTTTTCTTTGTCACTGAGGAACTTGAAACACCACTGTCTTTAGTTAGAAGTGTTAAGTACTTGCTGTCACAAAACAGACTGGAGTTTCTCCTGGTGGCAAAAAACATGTTACCATGTTGAACACACTTGGAGACAATAATCTTGAGGCAGTGCTTACAGCAAGAGTGAGGTAAAGGTTTATTCTGTGCAACCTCAGCTGATTCAGATTGAGAATTTATTCCCCCTCTTACTGGTGTTTACAACTGTTCCGTAAGCACTTCTGTCCCTCAGTCATTTAATTACTCATTTTGTGCTGGCTTAACTTCAGCTAAAAACGTCATTTGGGACAGTATCAGAAGCTCTGCTGAAGCCAGGACAGTGAGCTGCTGTGCAGTTTATGCTCATGCCAGCCAGCCTGTCAGCAAAGGAAGCTGGAATGGCTCCACACAGCTGTTGTGAGCCCAGTGAGCCACCTGCTTGGCTTTTCCAGTCACCATCACCCCCTGGGAGGTGTCAGGACTCCAGAGGATCCCAGACCCCCTGGCCTGTTCTGAAAGGACAGTTTTTGTTCCTTGCTGCTGGGGAGGAACCTCCTCGTTCTCCACCTTCTGAGAACTGAGTGTTAAAGGGTTTGGTTTCAGTTTGGCCCCTTCCTTCTGGTTCTGTCTTATGTTGCACTGAAGCTCAGAGCTTTTATATAGTGTGTTATTGTATCTCACTGGCTAAATAAAAGCCTAAAGCACTGCACCTTTAGCTGTGAGCAGCACTATGGTACCACTGTTATAGTAGTTACTCTTTTTTTACTTGGCAACAAATGCTTTTGGTAGAGCAGCACTGGAACCCAGTTAGTCTAAGGGTAGGTCATTTAGGAATCTTTGCATGTGCTCTAACAGAAAATCCTTTCAAGACTGCTAGCAGTTTTCTTCCTTTTGGAAAAGAAAAAATTGAATATTCAGTTAGGAGTAGATTAGGATTAAAAATACCAGTATATAACTGATTCTGTTGAATGTGAACTACTTAATTAAAAAATTCCTTTTTTTCTGAGAAATCAGAGTTACTGCTTGAACACAGGGATGAGACAGCAGAGACCACTTGTTCATTGGTAATTAAACATACTGAGAGAATTTACATGTTCTCTCTTGTTGAGGCCACAGTTCTAAAGGCACGACATGATCACAATTTTGTTTTCTTGCTAAGAGTGCTGAATATTCAATTCAGGTTTTGGGCATCTCAGGGAGATAATTCCAGCTGGATAAAGCCACATGCCTTGACTAAACCTAGTGATGTTGTGCAGACTTTTCTTAGCTGAGGATCTGGCCCTTCACACTATGAATGTATTCAGAATTGTACTTTGTTAATGCTGCCCTGTTTCCTGTGTACCCCTACTGCTGTATGTAATTAATTTTTTGCATGATTTAATTTGCAGCTTGTTTGTAGATTTCAGCATAAAAATAATTTTCTTTTTAAGATTAAGTGGGAACTTATGTTGTGAGTTTATTGCATTCTGTAACTTAAAGGTTTACATCCCTCAAAAGCCATTTTGTCTGCTACCAACTGCTGTAATCCTTCGAGTACCTCCAGCCATCTTCTCTTTCTAGGATTTTTATAGTTAAACAGAATGGATTTTTATTTTTGTAGCTTGTAACTTCAAATATGTATAGCAGTTGTTTAGTAATCAGTGATCAGAATACTGTAAAAACATTACCTTTAAGAGCTGTAACTTTAAATTAGTAATAACTACTTACAAGAAAATACCAGCATGTTAGCAGTTAAAAAATAGAAGTTATTCTTTAGCTTCACATACTGTGATGCTGCAACTTGGGATTTGCATTGAATGTGTTTATCCATATATTCTGCCATTGCACTAAACAGGAAAAATATGAGCTTAGAGTGCAATAGGTCAAAAAATAGAATTTATAACATCTTAGATTTTTTTCATCTGATAAAAGTAACATTTGGGATTCAGTATTTTTTTGTTTCCCACCAAGCAGTAAGGGAGGAGTGATCAGTGGACTCTTGACAGATCAGTTGTATCCTTATGGTGCAGCTTGAGATCTGTATTTAGTGCTCAAACATAAACAGACACCGTCTGCATCATTCCTGCCTCTCTCCTCAGAGAACAGAAACTCAGAGCAAACCCCACTGCTGACAGCTGTACAGTATGTGAGATCTTACTTGCAAGGAAAGAACCGGCCACCATAATCTTGAACCTCCAAAATAAACGTTTAAATCAAACTTTTCCAGTTTTTCCTTGACATCAACTGACATTTTCAAATCCCAGACTGGTTTTCCTTTGGTTTTTAAAAGGAGGCAGGCTGAAATGGGAGGATGAGGAAGTATTGCTGTAAAAAGCCTTTGTCATAAAAGCTGGGAGGGCTGTTCTTTATTTGCTGCAGAGGCACAGTGACTGTGTCTCATAAACATTTGTGACGTGTGCTCCAGTGTGTGCTCCAGTCATGACACGGGCTGATGTGAGGTTAGAGAGCTTGGGTCAGGTTCTGTCTGTGAGAAGCTGCAGCTTCAGCAAAGCCACAGAACTGCCCCATTCTGTGGACACAAGGGAGACTGAAAACCTCAGTGAGTTGTACCATGGCCTGTCCCTGTGACATACACTCCCAGAAGGCTCTTTTGAGAAACATCTGCTCCATATTCGTCATAGAAGTTTGTAAATACAGGTTTCTCACAGCACTGACTCTGTTACTGAATTTCCTGTTGCATCTTTTTTGTTGTCTTGTTGTTTGTACTGTATTTCTCTGTAGATTTAAGTGTGTGGATTAAAGTATTTAAAATCGGATTCTTTTATTCCTCACTATGCGTAAAAGCAAATTTGATTTTTCAACTCTGTGACAACCCCTGTGACTGCCTGGCTTTGCAAGGGCTGCAGCAGGATGAGACCAGGGATTTTAAAAACAAGATTGCATTTTGTTGAACTCTATGGCTGTGTTCCTGCTGGAAAGTCGAGGTGTTTCAAACCCCGATGCATGGGAAAAATTCTAGACAGCGTGGTAATGTCATTGGGAAGTAAATCTAACACTGGTAACATGCAGAGATTTGTCTCAGCAGCTGCTGGTTCATCCTTCACCCCGGGGAGAAGGTGAGTTTGTGTGGCTTTAGAATAGATGTGGTTAAAGTGGTGTAGCCCCCCAGGCTTCAGCAGGGAAGTGAAATGTCCAGATTGTTCCTTCTCACCTCTGTTGTCAGTGATTTGGGATCTTAAAAACAGCTTGTGACCCTGCCCACTCTTTATTTAGTGTAAGGGGGAAAAGTCCTACAGATATCCTACCTGTAATGAGCAATTTCAAGTAAGAGTTTTAACAGGAGATGTTTTGGTGTCATGTGGTGGTAATAGAAACTGGAGATGGGGTGGGAAGGCTGCTGACACTAAGGCAGGAAAACCCACCGGGCTTTCCCCAGACAGGGGAAATGCTGCTGCTGGAAGAAGTTCAGGGATCAAGTGGCTCAATGCTTTCTCCTGATGGCAGCAGATGGGTTAGTTTGGGCTTTTGGAAGTGAATAAATTCTCCTGTGGGGCCACTTTATCATAGTGTCAGTTCCCTCCCCAAGTCCACTCTGTTCCCCGGTCTCATTTGCACAAAAGAGAGAAGGGCTCTGGCCTCTCAGCTCCTGTATTATGTCACGATCAAACCTTTTAAAGAGTATTTGTGTGCTGTTTTCCATTCAAGATGGGGTCAGAGCATAGAGATTTAGCAGGTTTGTTTTTTTTCTTAGATGGGTAAGACAATCCTTTCACAGAGCTTTCAGGATCGCTGGCACTAATGTATTTAAGCATCGAGGTTTAACACATTTTAAATGTTTTTAGAACTGCTGGAGTGAGCCGTGCACAGCACCAGCTTGAGCCACACTTTAGCCCAAGGTTGTGTGAGGAGTCAGAACACAGGTACGTGTGGGGAAGAACACGGGTCCTTAGCAAAGAGCAAATCAAGGCTGAAATTCTTTCTTGATAATAAAAGTAAAAATGTAAAGTATTTGGTGAATGAACAGAAAAGTGGTGGTGTGTGGGTTCAAGTATGATTCAAGGAGTCTAGTGTTAGACAGCTGAGGGTCTAACAGGATATCTCCTCTGACAAATCTCTTTTCCTCTTCAGGAAAATCCCTCACTGCAGAAAGGCAGCGGCCAAACTCTGCCTCTTCCCCTGTGCATCTGTGGGCAATGTGAGAACACGCTGGTAACCGCAAGGTAACAGATGGCCGGAGGGTCCCGGTGACCGCGGGCGCTGCGGCGCTGAGCGGGAACAAAGCCCCGCGGATCTGGGGATGTGCCACCCAGCCGTGCCCAGGGCCATTGTCCCCGCCCGGCCGCGAAATCCCGATTCCACGCTTAGGAGCTGCTTGAAAGAGCCTCGCTCTCCCAGACCTGCAAAAGAGCAGCTCCCCATGTCGTTCATTGAAAATATGGAAAGGGCAATGCATATAGAAATCTAATTATTGGCAGGCACAGCCCGGCTTTTAGCATGATAATCGTGGGCCCCGGAGCTTTCTTGTGCACGGACCCCGAAAGATAATCATGAAAACAAAAGTTAAAACTATTGAATTTCCATCACTCACTCAAAAGTTCGCTTTGATTATGTTGACACGATTTTTGTTTGTCCCTACGCGGCGACGAGAAACTGTTATTAATCACTTCTAAATATTTCAAAGACAAAGGGGGCTGCCCGGCCCGGGGGACGGAGAGGGGATGATGATGGGATGAAGGCTGATGGCGGGGTGTCCCCCGCCTGTGCTGGGGGGTTCTCCCCGAGCTGGCGGGGCGGGGGGAAGGGGGTCGGTGACGGGCTCGGCCGACACCCCCAGCCCACCCCCTTCCCTCCCGCCGCCCTTATAGCCCGGCCCGCGCCCGGGCGCTGCCGGCAGCCCATGGCCACGGTGCGGGGCTCGCCCGGGCTCCCGGCCCTGCTGCGGCTGCTGCTGCTGCTCGGGGCGGGCGGGTCGCGGCCGGGCACCGCCGATCGCTGCAGCTGGAGGGGCAGGTACGGGGGTACCGGGGTACGAGGGGCTGCGGGCACCGGGCGGACCCGCCCCGCGATCCGGGGGCTCCCGGGGAGGGAACGACCCGTTCCAGCACCCGCGGGCGCGGCGCTGGCGCGTTTGCTTCGGTCGCTGACAGGAAAATCGGCGACAAATATTCTCAGTATTCTCAGGTGTTACATCCTTTCCCTCGACGTTTTGTTGGCTGTTTTACTTTTCCTTTAATTAATTCCGCTATTGCGGATTTGATCCTCGTAAGCTGACTTCAGCAAAAGTAACTGTTCTGAAAGCGAGAGCTCGGGAGCAGGGCCAGCACGACGCTTTTCCATCGAAAATTATAAATATTAGAAATTATTTTGGAAATCTAGCTCTTTGAACCAAATTCTTTCAGGCTGCTCGTTGAGCAGCTCCCGCTGCGGGTCGGCGGCTCTCACCCCCATCCGCTCACCGGTGGGATTTTCCGGACATCCGAGCACTGGCCAGCCCTGCCTCACGGAAAGGTTTGGAGCTGTTTAGCAGAGAGAAGTTGCCCTCTGACATTTCCCTGGATGCTGCAGGCATCCAAGCATGGATTTGCAGGCGGGCAAAAGGGGCTGAGCTCCTTCCCGTGCCCTCAGGTGCAGCCCCAGGTGTGAGCAATCCGTGTCTCCCCATCCCTCCCGCACGGTGCTGCAGCTGTGACCCGAGGGAAGAGAGGAAGGAATGCAATGCAGCCGGAGGAAGCCAATTTAAGAGTCATTAGAAGCGAGTCGGTTGGCAGTAGGGTTTGTCTCTCTGGGCAGAGTGTGGTAGCGTTTTCCGGGATGTTTTGGCTGTGCTGTGGGCACGGTTAGTGATGGAGCGATGGTGTTGCCCTGGCAGCGGTTTGAGCCGGGAGCCGCGTTCCCGCGCCGTGGAGCAGGTCCATCTGCGCTGCACCGAGGGCTCCCTGGAATGGATGTACCCGACGCGAGCCCTGCGAGTGGTCCTGGAGCCCAACCTGTCCAGTGCCCAGCACACCACCGTCTGCATCAAGCCCGCCAGCGACTTCCAGGGCGCCAACATCTACGTGGAGCGCGCTGGGCAGCTGCACCTGGTGCTGAGCGAGGCCGAAGGGGCTCGGCCCCACCACGTGTCCTGTTTCAGTGCCCACAGGCCGCAGCGAGTGGCCCTGTTCCTGCAGGCCAGCCCGCAGAGGGACATCAGCCGCCGCACCGCCAGCTTCCAGTACGAGCTGCTGAGCAACCAGAGCACGGCCGGCCCCGACTTCAAAAAGATGGCCCTGGTGGAAGGTAAGAGCAGGGGCAGCCCCGGGGCTCCACTGCCAGGGCAGATCTAGGATAGCATTTGGTATTCACTGGTGCATCCCTTGTGACAGAAGCTGTTTTGGGTTGAGGGGTTTGTTGCTGCAAGGGGGGGTCCTGGTGGTGCCATCCCTGAGAACATCCCCTGTGCTTATTTCTTTGCTGTGGTTGTATTTGCACAAGAGACTTGGTTTGCATCTGATCATAATTCTCTTTAACCTGGTAGTTCTGCCTCATTTCCTTTCCTAATTCACCAGTCCTATATTATCTAATGTACGTATTATTGTATAATAATGTATGTATATTATAGTGTTATGAATAACTAACTGGTCTGGGGTTTTTTCTAGCTATGTGCCGTCCTTGTGACAACGTGGAACTTCTTATGGCCATTTGCAGCAGTGATTTCGGTAAGCTGACTAAAGGAGAGTCATTCTGCCTTTCATTTATATTGATTATTTGGATTTGTTTGCTACTTTTCTTCAAATAATGTCATGACTGTGCTCCCTGATCTGGGAAAGAAAATAGCTGTGTGAAAAGGAATTTGAAGGGGGGGGCAGGAGTGAAACCTGGAAGGGAGAAACTGGCTTGTTTCCTGCAAGCAGAAAGTTAAGATCTAAAACTGAACTGTGAGTAATTCTCACAGGTGTGAGCTGCTGGCTCTTAGGTGTAGACACTCATACACACAGGTTGTACATGCTTGGTGTGGTCATTTTTATTCCCTTTGTCTATGTTTCTCTTTATCCCAACTATGAATATGCTCTCTCTTCCCTCACAATTCACACACTTCTAGTTCTTTTTCTGCAAAGGCAGTGAGTTGTTTGTAGCTTAGTTAAAGACTTCAGGTGGTTTAAACTTCCTTCAGTGATGTCCTGGTTAGGTTTCATGCCTTATGAGAAAACAGAGCACTTATAGTCCATAAGAAAAGAAATAATAAGAAATACTAATTTGATGATACCTTAAAAGTTTTTTCCTTTTTCTCTACTTGATAGTGCAATAGGATTTTTTTTTTCTTCTGAGTGGTTTGTCCATTTTATTCCCCTGTTTTTCCACACTCACATTTGTACCTCTTCGATTGGGTCAAACAGCTAAAGCTGTAGAGCTGCCTCTCCACGTGGCCACAATTCCATTGCTATAAATGCACCTACGTGAAAATAAAACTACAAATTCTGTTCAATGTTTACAAAACCCCACCAAATCCCTGCTTCCCTACCCCGGGGTTGCCACACTACAAAGCTGATAAAACCAGACACCAACATCACTGTGCAAATACAAACCCAGTGCAGAGCAGGCTTCCCTTGGGGTGCTCCTTAGCTGGTAATTTTTATTCTTCCTCTAAATTAATCGGTGCAATCCAGCCCGTTGTTTTTCCTTGATGAAGTCCCTGGTTCCCATGCGGGTGCTCTCCCTCGGAACAACCGGAGACTGACAGATGTGGAGGCCCAGGCACACAATGGGGGCACTTACACTCACAGCAGCAGCAGACCAGAAGAAATGGCCCTTTGAACTGACTCTATTTATGGCCTGACTTCCTTGCCCCGAGCCCACAAATCGCTATCATCGACTTTTTTGATTAGAGAAAATAGCTGCTAATGAAAGTGTAAATGACTGGGAGTGAATGGGGGCTTTATAGTCACCCTTGGGATGGGGGTCTTCAGTCACTGGGCCCTGAGCGGTGCAGGAGCAACTTGGAGCACCAGGAACAAGTGCATTATAGCTTGTCAATAGACTTGACTGCATCTGATTAAAAATGATCACACAAAGAGGGAGAGAGAGCAGAGACATCTGTTACACAAAATTCTGCATTCCCTTGGAAAACCTAATTAAATGAGGAAGTTCTTGGAGGCTTCGGAAATAAGTTTATTCTGCATCTTGGGTTGTTGAGTTTTCTGTACCCAAACGAGTGAGTTCTGTGGCAGGAGGGTGGTGATGTACCCATTGCTTTGCAAACCTCTCATTTGCTGAAGAGCTCGTGGCTCAAATGGTGGCCTGTTTCTGAGCCTTCTATGGATGTGGGATTGAAACTAACTTAATTAGTAGAAGCATAATTGATTGCTGTGAAAAATGGGGGCAGTGACATTGAGAAAGATGGATTCAGGACAGCAAACACCTGTCAGATGGAATGTTTTATTCTCCATGTGGTTGATGCAAAGGATGCTTTCAGTCAGAGACTGTGGCTTCTTGTGCTTCCCTTCCAGCTAGGATTCTTCTGGGAGAAGAAGGTACATGTATGCTATGTGATTTTTGAAATAAGGCTTCAAATAAAGTCGCTTTAGGAGTTCTGAATGTTGTTCATCATCTCCCAAAGTGTCTTTTGGAGGATGGATGACATTTTCTTTTGAGTGGAAAAAAACACCAAACCTTTAAATGAAAAAAAAAAAAAATTAAAAGCTCTCATTTCCTTCAACCAAGTCATATTCTGATTTTTCTCGGATTAACCTCTGTTAGTGGTGTGAAAGAAAAAGCTCCAGAGTCCCTTGGAGTCAGTAAGGAAGGCAGCCTGTGATAGTCATTGTCTTGGAACACAGACCGGAAAAAGCGAATCCCTGAACCAACCTCTTTTCATGTGCTTTTTAATCCTTCACTACTTTGCATTATCAAGCAAGATAGATGCTTTGTCCTCAATGTAGCTGGTTTGAGTAGTCATAAAGCACAATTCCAAGGGCATAGCACTGTCTGTGTAGGGATCCCCTGGGCAAAGGATGCAATACAAGCTCAGAAATGTGTCCACGTGTAGGTGGGAGGTGTAGAAACTGCACCACTCCTGCTCTCCAGTTATTTCATTCAGTGAGCTCCTGGTACCTGAGCTGCTTGCCTGCTGCTCCATAACCAACTCCTGTCTTCCTCACATCCAGTGGTGAAGGGATCCATCCGAAACGTTTCCCACGACTCAGAGAACCACATGTCCCGGGTGGATGTCAGTGTCCAGAGAGTCTACAGGCAGAAGAACAGGATTTTCCAGCAGGATGAAGGGAGTGGGGAGTGGAGAGGCCCAATCCGAACCCTGCTGCAGTGCAAGGTGAAGAAGGGAGGTGGAGATTTCCTCTTCACTGGGAATGAACACTTTGGGGAAGCCTGGCTGGGCTGTGCCCCTCGCTTTAAGGATTTCATGTTTGTTTATCGAGCTGCCAGAGAAAGAGGAGCCAACCCCTGCGAGTTTGAGCTCAACTGACAAACAGAGACACTGTTGTTGAGAGCTCAGTTTTCAGATACTGAACCTGCAGCAGAGCTAAGACCCAGGACTGAAGCTGACAATTCCACCCAAACTGGGAGCTGGAGAATTCCCTGAGGATAATGGCTCTGTGAGCCCTGTGAACTCTTTTAATGCTCATTAGTTTCTCCTTCTTCAAATTGTCATTGTCTCACAAAATAACTGTGAATTTTGAAAAGATTGTCTTTTTGGGGGATTAGAAAGCAGCTTGTGCCCAGGATTACAAAATTCTAAAATGTTTCGCTCTGTCTACATGCAATGTGCTTTTCCTCCAGATATTTTTCTCCTCCCCAATCTCTACTTGATTTCTTTTCCTTTACAGGCAAATGTGGAAACTCTCTCTAAGCTGGGGGAGTAGGAAACTACCCTTGAGGGAAAAAAAAAAAGAAAAAATCCCCAAGAACTACTTCCTTTTTAAAATGGAACATAGGTGCTGTAAAAAGTAGGTTTTCTTTTCTTACACTGAAAGACACTAAGGAGCTTAATATAAGCACAGACAAAATACAACTAACTTGACTTCTGAAAGTTCTGTTGAACTGATTTAGAATCAAGAATTGCTCATGATGGTGTTTTCACCTAAATTATCTGCCTCTTTTCAATTAGCTTTCATTATTTGAACCGTGGCTCCTCCCACCCTCCCTCAGTGCTTTGGCCAGGCTCCCATAATTGCCTGTATTTTATGTAAATGGAATTGCTACACCGTAAAATGATATACAAATGTGTCTACCACATAGAGCCCAATAAATGGTGTGAATAAACCCATTATTTCCCGTGTAACAGCATCTGATTGCAGCCTGGGAAACATGGGGCTGACAGATGTGAGCCCCTGACAAGGCCTGCAAAAATCTGAATGAGGAGCCCTCTGACAGGCCACAATTAATTGACTTTTGAAATGACTCCTTTTTTTTTTTTTTCCACAGTTCTACTTGGCTGAGCAAGATTCACAAATTGCTGTCTTGAACTTTTTAATGGGACAAAATAGCTGCCAATGAAAGTCTAAATGACATGAACTTTGAATGGGAGTCGTACAATGGCCACGCCGTGACATGTTTTTAACTGACATATTGATTATTTGAGAAGTAGCAGCCACTTAATTGGGAGGGAATGGGGAAGGGGGGAACAAATGGGAGGGAGTCAGAGGACTGGGTGTAGAAATACAGAGGACTGGGTGTAGAAATACAGGGTGTAAAACAGTAGCCAAATATAGTTTTATTAAAATAGGGAGCATCCTGATAAACACTTTCACGTGTTTTCCCAGAGAGTACAATTTGGAGTCCAAGTCAGTTTTTCTTTTTGCTGTGAAAAAGTGTTCACAAAGCTAAATCCAGAGGAAATGTCATTAGCAAGGAAGAAAGTAGACCTTGTACGAGCAATGAGCCTGCTGACTTCTTGAGGATCTCAGTACTTGCTCAAGACCCAGGCTGTAGTCACAGTCAAGTTTATATGGGCTTAAAATATCTATTTGTCTGGCTTTGGAAACTGAGACCAAGCTCTGACAGACCTGATTGACCTCCTAATCCCAGGGCCATCATGGTTAGTGAAGATGAGGATTTTGCCTCCCCTAGTTTTTGCTGGTTTGGTGTTTTGTGTTATGCTGATCAAGAAATACTGTTTGAATCTCTGGGAACTCTTTGGAGAGTTTCTTCTCCAAAACCTTCATCAGCCCAACTGACTTGGAGAACTTTAAGTGGAAAAGGAAATGCTGAACTTGTTTCGTGGATGTCTTTGTTTGGGCTGATTTTTCAACATATTGAGCCACCAGAACAGCTCCCTCCTGAGCTGTTTTCCACTGGCCACGTGGGGAGGCAGCAGCCTGCAAACCACCCTCCCTTTAGTTTGATTTCACTGGGTAACGTTAGGAATCATCACCCATTGCTGCTTCTGGGTGTACCTTAAGCGGGCAGATGCTGGACATCACCTGAGGGTTTTTTAAGCAATCCCACACTGAGTCCTTAGTTGTTCCTCTTCCTCCAGCTGATGACCACGTTTTTGTTTACTTGAAAGGGTTCCAGTTTTGTTTACTGGTCAGGATGTTCCCCTTGTCATCAGCTGGTAATGGGTGTGTAGCTCAGGGGAAGGAGATCTAGGACAGCATTAGACAGCCCAGAGGACACCACAGCCCCTGCAACTCTCCTTTCCTCTCTTACCCACTTCTTGTATAACTCAGGGAATTATGCAGTAAAAGACCTGTTATTTGTACTCTGCTGTGTCTTCCCTTCTGCCTCCCTCACTGCTTTGCTTCAACTCTGAGCACAGAACAAAACATTGAGAGCTGGGGTTTACTGTCAGTATTTATTGAATTCAAACTATCACAATTCACCAGTCAGCTCCTGCAGCAGTTACAGGCCAGGGATCAGATGGCATAAAATCCATGTTGGTGGCCCTGGTGGGGACACCTGGGTGACACAACTACATGGAATAACACACCATACACATACTGAAGTAGCTGGCTGATACATCACTGCAACCAACAGAAAACTACATAAGCGTTTCTTTTTCTAAATACAGTGTTTTTCTGATGTGTTTCATTGAAGAAAAGATTAAATTTAAACAGATTAGTTTATTTTTCAGTGAGCAACTGTTTCTTGATTTACTCTTACTTGTACATTAAAATGCCAATCAATCCACATCCTCATGGTGTTATTGACACCAGAATTAGTTTTATATCTAGACTGGGTAAGTTGGGTTCTTCATAGTATTAACAAGAGAAGTACAATTAAAATATATGCTTCTACAGATGTTTTGTTTAAAACCAGTATAGCTTTGATAGTTACTGCCTAAGTACAACCACTTCAGTTGTGTTGAAAAGGTTTTTGAATCATCACTTATTATGCTGTAACTAATATTTTTCTTAATATTATATCACCCTAATGTTTCAATATATCCAAGATATCTGAAGCTTACCAAAACAAGACTTTTCAGAAATCCAGCGATTCCATTACATATTTCTGATTTCATTCCAAACTAACAGAATTTCCTTCTATGATTTCTAGTCATTCATAGCACTAGAGAAAGCAAGAAATAGGACCAGGAGTACAGTGGCAGGCTTGTTTCACTGCCTCGTAATCCAGGACACCTTCTGTCTTCCATATTGTTGGTCATTCACCCAATGTCACATTTCAAGAATTCCCACCTTGTCCAGAATAAAAGCTGCTCTTGACTTTGGGTGTCACTCCAGACTGTGGCTACAGAAGCCCAAAGACTTAGAGGTCAGTACTGACACCCCTTTTAAGTCAAGAGGCAACAGAGAATGAGGACCTTCTCCACTGCACAAACCTTTGTCCCAAGGGGACAGAGTATCTTTCAGCACCTACAAGTGGATCTGCAGCCCCGTGGCACTGCCAAGCAGATAAAGGATTTCTCAGAGGAAACTGCTCTTGTCCCTCAATGCTGACAAACTGGAAGGGCAGAAAACCCAGTCTGTCATTCATTGTTGGCTCCCAGCAGGACATATCCTCCCTCCACACCTTTTAAAGACTTCTGCTTAGGTTGGTAGTTTCAGTGCTGACTGTGCTTTGGAGAGTGGAGACCCTTGAAATAGTACAACTGCTCCAGAGACAGCTGTGGCACTTTTAGATCCACCATCAATTCCATATCCTATCTTGGCCAAAGAAATGGAAGAAATCAAACTTATGCTATCCTTGACAAAGTACCAAGAGTTTACAAGCCAAGTGAAAACAGAGACACCAAGCCCTGAAAGTCTCTCTCCAAAGCACTTTGGCTAATGTGGAATGTATCATAGAGGGTCTTTTAAGCCTTCTAACAATTCCCTGCCAAACTGCCAGCAGTGGCTTTGTGTTCTTTTTCACCAAGTCTCACAAGGGGAGTTTTACAAATCAAAGTCCAGGAAGTCTCTCATGTGAGCTTCCCTGTTCTTCATGGGATTCAAGAAATAGGAGCTACCACAGTAAGCCCAGAGGCATCAATAAGATACAGACCCAATAACTATGAGATCCAAGTACCTTGATTGCCTACAGATTGTAAGTAGGAAGTACAGATTCCTCTGTACACAGAACTTCTGAAGACATATCACAACCCAAAGCAAAGAACACCAGGAAAATTAAAAATCCATCCCAGTAGGAATGGATGTATATTCTCCTTTGTGCTAATTCCCTGCATGTTTCAAAGGACTCACCTGTCTGCCCACAGGCTTCATGCAGAGAAGAAACAGCATTTTCTAGGTCCTGTGCACATGTCTTGAGACTCCTCAAATCAGAGTCCCAAAACCATACAAGAAATCCAGCTTCTACCACCTGAACAACTAAAGATACACCAGCAGAGAATATCCCACCTCACAAAGAGGAAAAGCTTTATGACAGAAGACCCTGCTTTAAGCAAACAGCAGATTTATGCTCCATATGCAAGCCAAAAATGCACCCCCTGAACTCCTCAGCACACAAAAAAACCCCAACACTAAAGAGCCTTCAGTGTGAAGATGTGAAGCATGTTCTGGGTCAGCAGATGAGACAGAATACTTCATCCCCCAGACTGTGTTATCACAGGACACACATCACTGCTCTGCAGGATGTCTTCCTGAAGACTCTCTGGTGTATTCCCAGAGTCAATGTCATTTATTCCTTGGTGATTTTAACACCATTTCTTTCCCATCAACTCTAACAGTCTCTGCATTTCCATTCTGATGAGATCTGTCATATTGGCTTTTACAACTTTGTGCCACAAGACCTGGACTTACTGATTTCAGTAGCTCTTTCTGTAGCATCTCATGGAGTCATACACTGAGAACCTGAGTATGAAGAACAGTCTGTGTAAAGACAAAAAGGCAACACTGAGAGCTCCCTCAAAGCCTGGAACCTGAATTTGTCAAGGAATTCTTCCTGTTTCTTTCTCAAAGGGGTTATGGTTACCTGTGGAACACATTAATTCTGGGGCTCCTTTACAGGCAACCACAGAAGCCACAGCAGCTACTGAAGACATTTAACAATGGTTCATACCATGACTTTGATTTTAGGGCAATCAAAGTCTTTGCAAAACCTTTCATTGTAGTTTTTACTATCATCAGCATTTTGCTAAATCACTCTCTAAAGGCTTCAGACCAAAGAATCGGCAGATTTCCCAAACTCCTTAAAAGAGCTAATAATTTTTGCCTCAAACAATCAATCTTTGAGACTTTGGGTTTGATTACGTGCATATAAGTACTTAGGTGAACTAAACTAAGATAGGAGACCTTACTGTTTCATTTAAAGGAGAGAGAGCACAGTGCCACTGGAGAACAGCCAGAAGGCAGGGTACAAGGCCTCGGTGAACTGGGCTTTGAATTTATAGATCAAGTTGTGCTTCTCCCCCACCGCCATGAAGATCACGAAGCCCCCCTCACAGTGGAGCAGCACGCCAATCCTGGTGGCCTTTGTGCTGGGTAAGCACTTTTCAACGTCATCGTGCCAGGATGATATTTTGTTGTTGAGCCACTCGATGCACCAGGAGCTGCCGTTCCTGCCCAGGCGGCTCTCGGGGCCGTGCCGGGCCATGCTGCCGTAGCACACCCCGATGCCACAGAAGCTGTTCTGCTGCAGCTCCACCTCCCAGTAGTGGATCCCCCTCTTGAAGCACTGGAACCCCAGGACCTGGCGGAAGTCGGTGAAGCGCTGAGGGTGGGGGTTGTAACCCCTGAAGTTGTCTGAGACGGACATCCTGGTGTAGTTCTCAGACAGCATCACGTTGTTATGAGCTGTGTTGTAATCCAGGGTGATTTGAGCAGTATCTGCAACGACATGAATCATGTGAAGGTACTGAAGAGCAAAGCACTTTCATTTATTTATCCTGTCCTGCCCAAGCACTTGTTCCCATGCATGTTCATCTCCCAGCTCTGCTCTTCTCCTCAGTGCAGGCAGTTCTGAGGGCCTCAGTAAAACCTTCTGGGTTTAACTGCAGCTCCATGTTACACAGCAGGCAAATGGAGGGCGAGTCTCCTTCCTTCCTGCATCCCCATGGCATTCTTTCACCACCCAAATAAATGCTGGAAAAAGAAGGGGATCTTTCATCTGGCAGCGAAAGGTATACCCATGTCGTACAGCATCTTAACAAGGCATCCTGAGCTCACATAAAAGCCTCCATTTCATTAAAAAAAAAAAAAAAT